CCCCATTGCCCGGAACAAAACGGTGGAGCACCACATACCCGTCTAGTGCGGAAAACCAGGGAGAGAGAAACACAGCCCTCTGCATGTGAGACAAATAAATTGTCTCTGGTTAATTTAGTGTGGTTCTATTCAGCTCTTCCTGCCACAGCAGCTGCTGTCAACACCATCCCCTAATCTAATTTCTCTGAGACAAGCATTTCCCTTGCTTTTAGGGACAGCTACTCCCAAACAGACTAGTGTTTCTTTTATTTTTTTAAGGTTAGTCCTTTTCTAATGGAATATATTGGTTTAAAGACTGGATATAGAGGGAGGCTTGAAGTAATCTAAGGCTTCATTAGCACCTGGAATCTAATTTGATTCCAGCCAGGTAGTTGGGCAAAGTCCTGTACGTGGGAGATGCTTCCTTAGGCCCGACTGAGCTGGTCCTGTTTAAAATAATAACAGGCTGCCCAGAGAGGCTGTGGAGTCTCCTTCTTTGGAGATCTTCCAAACCCGCCTGGATGCCACCCTGTGCCACGTGCTCTGGGTGTCCCTACTGGAGCAGGGGGTTGGACTAGATGATCTCTAGAGGTTCCTTCCAACCTCAACCTTTCTGTGATTCTGTGTTGTATAGGTTGCCCTTATATGGAGGGATTCACCAGGTGAAAGGTAGGTAGGTAGCTACCATCGACACACATGTGAGCTGGTGTCTTCGCTCAGGGAAGAGAAATCGGCTGTTTTAGATTGCAACTCATTGAATATGAAAGCAGTGACCTACAGTAGGATGTGAACTATGCCTAAAAAGTGACTATTGGTCTCCAAGAACTGTCCAAGGAAGGAGCTGTGCTAACTAGCTCCGACATGGAGCAGGCTACCAGCTAAACACCTTGCACGTGGCAGGACTCATCACACCAAGCACAGACCAAGGGCACCAAGGCCACCACCAGCGCTCCCAGAGCTACATCCTTTCAAATTAAGGCAAGTAAGGACATAGATGAGCGTTGCAGCCTGTGTTTCTGTGCTGTTCTCTTGTTTCAGGTCATAGATACAAACGCTGCCTCATGCTGTATTTGAATGTGAAGGATTTATTTTTTATATCTTCCTGGGAGAAAAGCCCTTCTGCATGAAATATGTTTTGATTCAGCATGACGACTTCTGCAGCGCGTTGCCAGTGATTAGCTGGTGGAGCTACCCTGAGAATACGTATATTCATTATGCACCAATATCTTCCAAATTGCACCAGGGAACTGAATGTTATTTGCTGAGCTTGTTTATATAAGTTAACAGCATGATAAACATCTGGAAGGTAAAAGATCAGTCCCATGCTGGCTCTTCTCTAACCAGGGATTTCTGATCCTTCAGGGTCCTTGTTTGAGGGTGAGACCTCATTGTAAAACAGGCCAGCTTTGCTTTCTATGAAAAGCTCTGAGCTTCTTGCTCTGGTCTTCTCTCACCTCGAGGATTTCCACCATGGAAATAGCTTTGCTTTTTTTCTCCTGTCCACTGGAATTAGACCAAAATGCTGCTCCACTTTCTGCTCCCTGCTGAAAGCACAACCTTCATCAGAAGCCACTGCTTGCTCTGTGTTTTCCTCTGACCTCCTGGCTCTGGCTTTCCAGAGAAACCTCACTTAGGTTTCTGCCTTTCATCATGCAGCTTAGTTCATAATGTACGATGTCAACTGTCCTCTTCTGGTCTCAAAATACCCCAGGAAAGGCAACTAACCCAGCCACCCTCCTCCTTTTCACCCCCGACCCTCTGTCCTTTCCTTCTCCTGGGTCTCATCTGACTTCTTGTCGATGCCCTCCCTGTAGATCCTCTGAGGCAAGGAATGAGTTTCACCTACCCTCAAGTGGCCAGAGATTTAGAAAGCCACATAGGAAGCTATTCTAAGATGAGAACTAATATCACTCCCGTCCTGCTGCCAGATGCCCCACCTCTCCTGAAAGACACATGACAGTCCCTCTTGCTTTCATGTACAGCTTTAATGCTATGTAAATGGACATTAGCAAAGAGCCTCATAAAATAATATTGCACAAGAATAGCCACCGGGCAGTTCATATCTGCACAAGAAATTTTGATTGCTTCCTAGGTTCCTATGCTGTTCTCAGTGGAAAGCTCCCAAAGAAGCATTGTGAGATCCTAAAGACAGAGGGTTAAGTGGTAGCTGTGTATGTGTGCAAGGGCAAAAAAGATTCCATCTGAACCAATGCTAAGAACATCCTTCTTCCTCCTTCTTTCACAGAGCTCTGTGAAATTGTTGGTCTTTCATTACAGAAGACACTGGACAGTAATGCTAGGCAATGTCAAGCCCTGAGGAAAAGTGCAACAAAACACTATGAAACAGCTTCAACAGTGCTGCAAAGTTAAATAAGGGAGGAAAAATTCACTTTGCAATGTTTGTGAAATGTCCTGTTTGCAAACAGTCCCTCCAACAAACTTTAGCTTAAAAAGTGTGCTGCCCTTCAAGTGAACACTTAGAGCAATGTAAATAACGTGGTATGTTTGGTGGGCAGGCTGCCCATCAACACTGCCGCAGGCATCTGAAGGGTAAAAGCAATTTGATGGTCACATAAAAGATGAAAATGGTTCTTCCAGAGCTTTCCCTCCACAAGAACTACCATTTACTGTTCTTGCCTGAAGCTTCATATCTTCAGTAGTTACCCAGTATGGTTCCACTGTGCATTTACTTAGACAGGAGTAAAAAGCCCACATGATTCCTAAATCCTGATTCAGTAAACAGATTTCTCTGTAATGAACATCTGGCACATCTGGTTACTTGTATTACTATCCCCCCAATTAGGACCCCCAGCACCATTCTAAGCTTTTTCGTCTGGAATTCTTGAGAGAGATAATGTCAGAAATGTATCTGAAACACAGGCAGCCCATTACCAAGGTGTACGGCACGGCATCACTTAAAAATTAGCACTCATGTAGATACCTGAGGAAAGAAGTAGTTATCTCTGCTTCCCCCACGGCAGCAGGGGGAAGGGAACCTTCTGCTGCTGGTAGGAATGGTTCCCTATAGCACTGTGCACTCTCAGGCCATCACATACCACCTATTTGTCTCTTCACATCCCCTTCTTCACCTCTGCTTTCATTCTCAAGCCAGGTAATAGATATGTGGGGCCTTTCCAGCTTCACTAGCTGGCTGGAGACAGCTGCTCCTCCAAGTGCCTTCTGCTCAGATCAGGTTGGAAACTCTTGCAACTTCTTGCGAGCAACTGGAACCCACACGGGAAGAAAACCAGTCGAAAAAGCAGAGATAAATTAATGCTCATTCTTCATTTTTGAGTCATCTCTCCTTCCCATCCATTCCAGACTGCAGTGCAGTGTGAGGGATCCACTCATTACCACCACAAAAGAGAGTATAATGCTCTGGTCAGCCTTTTTTTCACACTCCCTCTTTTCAGCCACTGAAAGCTGATTTTTCGCTATGGATTTGTCCTATGGATTATCGCTCCAGAATAGGAGAGGTCACTTATTTGGTCATTTACTAAATTGTTGTATGGATCAATAATCCCAAGATATCCCTTGGCTATGATATTGCTAGAATGACTTCTTGTCTCCACTGTGTTGCCAGCTCTCATAAAACAATACAAATGGCAATATTTAAGCTCACTGAATCATCCCTGAAATTAATATTAGTGTAACTCAGTAGTACTGGGCTTTATGCATCGCCGTTCCACAGCTAAAAACTGTACTTAGCTCTTGTGAAACTCGGGCGGATCTGGATCATATACACTGGAAATGTTCAGGAGCTTATAGTTCAGAGCACCTGAAATCTCACAGGTACAATAGCCTACTTCTTTGGGAGACACCAGACCAGCTCTTGAGTTGTGGGGGCTCCATGCAACCTTGATTTGTCCTAAAATAAATCTACTGCTAAATATAAGGACAGAGCAGAACAAAGAGGCTCTTCTCTTGCAAAGCCACCCTTGTAATGGAAGTTACATGAACGACAATCACTGTGCAGGGGATAAAAAGAAGCCTCACTTAGGGGAAGAAACTCAAAAGTAAGTGTTCATTTTTTGTGGATACTGTGGAATGAACGCGGGTGATGTCAGATGTAACGTAACACTGGAGTGGAAAGGCTGACAGAAAAAGGCACCGTATCACTTCACCAGTTCTAGACATGAGCTATACATTAAAAGTAAGTAAAAAGCCCCAAGTTAACTTTGTGCAGATGCCATCCCAACCCCCAGCCTCCTTCCGGGTCTTTTAGTGCTGCAAGAACAGATTTGTCTTCTCAGAAAATATCTCCCTTGGAGGCAGCAAAGCTGCGTATTGTATTTACACAAGAGCACTGAGAGCATTCCAGCGGCTCCCAAATGCTAACAGTTCCTTGCAAAACCCCCCAATGCAGAGAAATTCTCTAACCCTGGCACAATCTTCATTAAAAACTTCCTGATCTGGTCCTGTCCAGTCTACAGATGTGCCCTGTACACACACATAAGCCAACTGGTTGCCAGAAAATGCCATCATTTGCTATTGCAGATAATTCATTGTGCCATTGTGCGGCTGAATCCAGAATGCGAGTATGACAGATTTATACTGGGATTAATTTGGACACTGACATAACACACACTTTGGGCAAAATCCAGGGGAAATGGATGGCTCACCGAAGAGGAAGTGAGTGTTTTTCCTCCAGGTGGCTGGTTCAAATTGGTTTTGCTGGCAGAAAGAGGCTTTTGTTCTGCAGCCCTGCCAAGCTTGGACCTTCTAGGAGTGTTCAAAACCCACAAATAAAACTTTAAATCCATGAGACATAACGTCTGATCGTTCCTCATGCACAGTTTCCCTCTGTGCAGCTACGGGTCTTCCTGTGGCTACAGCTCGTTTACACGCGTGTGAGAGGAGTTCTCAAAGCCCAAGAGCTTAAAAGGAGCAGCCATAAAAGTGTCGCTTTGTCTACGGGCATTTCTACAACGTGGGAAGTGGACAACCCTGTTTCTTCACCCCTAGGAAATGGGCCATTCTTAGGTGTATCCCGACGGAATGACTTTGTATCGCGCACTTACCTGACACAAAAGTACAACACAACCGGTCCTGACTTTTTGGGGAAGTCATGTTCCAGCACTCGGCGGTCCAGCTGGAGCCAGTTCAAGTGCCCCCTGACGAGAGAGGAGACAGTCATGAGCCCAGCAGAAAAGAAGTTCCTTGCTACTCATTGCAACGAGGTCCGAGGTGTTAAAAAAGGTGAACCCAAACGCGTGCTATTTGCCCTTGGCTATTGCCTGATATTTGAAAACAGTAAATGTTTGAGGAACAGAAGCGATATCATCCTGGCGACGTTTCAGTATGAGAACCGGTGAGCTGAAGTTCAATCTGTCAGAGTGAAAGCTGGCAGCACAGAGCAGTCAGGACACGACAAAATGTTAAGAGCTTCACCTTTTATTACAACCCCCCGAAGCAGATGCATCATTAAAAGCCTGTCAAGATTTTCATTAAAAATCCATATTGTTAATAGTTACCACAATGCCTGCAGTGCTTCACTCAAGGCTCAACCCAACTGCATCCAGCCTGACAGTTTATTTACCACCCTCACGCCTGGAAGAGCCTCTCCAGGTTTGCCAAGCCTTGCTTCTCCCTCCGCCAGAGAGCTCCTGCAAAACAGCTGCTCCACGAAGCCTTCCAGCTCCAGTCACCACGTGCTGCTCCTCCTGTGCCTAGATGCTACCTGTCGCTATTAGTTTCTCCTACAATTTATCCGTTTGTGCCTTCCCTGGGCAGGAGCTCTGCTCTTTGTCTCGTTGCACGCATTGGAAACGGCCTGCTCCCTGTGTGGTGGTTTATAAATACCTTTGTTTGTATTGCACTGGCATCTCACTCCTCAGCTGAGATAAAGGCCCCATTAAATTATACGCCATGGAAATATGTAGGGTGAAATTCAGGCCCCTCTGAAGGCGGCAGGAATTTTGCCGCTGCCTTGAGTGCTGCTAGAATTGCGTCCTGTGGACATTTTGCTATTGATTTCAGTCAGACCAGGTTTCATCCAAAGGGAAAAGCAGCTCCTGCCTTCAGCACTTCACTGTCTAGGCAAGCAATGGCAGAGAGATTTAAAGGGATTTTGGGGGGGAAAGCATGCAGCAAATAAAGCAGGAAATGGAATTCAGATGTTCTGAGCTCTGTTCCATTCTGTAGACATTGGTTCATGGTAATCCTCAAGATTAATCATTTCACCAAAAAAAGGAAAAAAAAAAGAGATATGCTTGAAAACAGTGTTAAATTAAGTTCTAGGGTTGCCACAAGCCTTAGAAATGTACCCTGTCAGCAAGCACAGCGGCTTTCACAGGAGTCTGCCCATTACTCCTCGAAATCGCCTGTGCTTTGAGTAACTGAGAAACTGCCTTGGAAGCGAAGCTACAACAGCTATTTAGCAATTTAACCATATTTGCAGCTTCCCTTCCCCCTCTTTTCTAGAAAAAATAAATAAAGGGGAAAGTAGCAATTTCAGGAGGCTTTGTGTCACCTGGGTTCAATTTAATTTTCTGAACAGCTGCCCTGGCTTATGCAGATGCTGAAAGGGGTTGGTAGCCCAGGGATCTGCACAGCCAGACAGCTCCGGGCTGTTCCGAGACCAACGGGGACACGGGGCTTGCCAGCCTCTGGTGCAGCACGCTGCTTTGCACAGTGCAAGGGATTCAGAAGGGCCTGGGAGCTCCACTTACCACTCCACTGAGCTCAGGATCAGGCATTTATTAAAAAAAAACTCATATTCACTTTTGCCAGGTGAAAGTATTTTCCTTGGCCCATTAGTCCTTCGACTGCTCAACAAGGGACAAGCGAGATTGGTGGAGGTGGGGAGTTTTCAGACGTAGTCTTCTTTTTAGTGTCTTAGTCTTCTTTTTTTAAAAAAATTAACCTTTTAATAACTTTTTTTCTCTACATATTTTTAACAAACTTTTTCTGTATTTTTTCCTCTAGGTAGAGAGGTAACTGTGTGTTAGAGGCACACAGACCTGCTGCACTGGGGCCCGTTGCTCAGGTCAAGCACATGCTTTAGTAAGATTTGGTTTTTAGAAGATAGATGCTCGGAAAATGAACCCTCTTGAAAGAACCCTGATCTGGGCATGCAAAACTTGGAGGTGGCCACACTTCCAGCTGCATTCCCCTTCTCGAGGGCTGGCCTTTCTCCTACTGACTGCTTATTTTGTCTCAAGGTCCCATTCTGTTTCTCTTAGAGGGAATTCAGAGCGGCAGAAATTAACTTTGAAGGCCACTTGGGGATTGAAACTAGACATTCTCACCCATTCCAAGCCAAGGTACAAAATGAGCCTTTATACCAAGGTATGAAATGCTGTCAGAGGAAGGAAAAGCCACACCAAGCCTGACATCCTATCCGAAACCTGTCCAGCTGCATTTGTCTCACCAAAGTAGCAACCGCTTCCCACCAAGACGAATTTGTTGACAATGGACTTGCAGTTTACATCTATGTTTATTCAACAGAAATGTCTGGATCTGCCTTACATGTGCAATGAAGGGTTTAGAAACCACAGCGCAGAAAACAATAATTCATTTCATGTTATTTCTCATTCTGAAAAGATTCGTTCTCTTCATGCTCACTGCATCTTAACTTGGGGAACTTGTATCTCATTCTGATGCGATCAGTACAAAAAGAATATATATTCATATACATATATATATATGTTGGGTTGGAAGGTTTTTATTGCTCCTATCTGCGAAGAGCTTAAATCCAGAGCTCCTTCAAAAGGAGGAAGGTCATGTAAATCACTGCCAGGAGCTAGCTGCTCGCTGTACTCAATTCCCACTTAAAATCTTTCATCACTGAGGGCTTCTGCACTGCAGATTGTCCCCCAGCTCCCTTGTTTCCACACACGCATGTGTGGCATTTAGAGAGCAGCAGCAATGAGCAGTGCCTGGTATCTGCCAGTGCATGTTGTCTATCGGGAGCCTGGGTCCAATGCTGTTATGCCACAAAACACTTTGCTCTGGAAGCTGTCTTGCTTGTCTTCAGCAGGGCTATTTGCAGAGAGCAATCCCATATAAGAGAGTAGAATGTTTGCACATATAGTTCTAGGCATGTAATAAACTTGGCAGTTTTCATGGACCCATTTAGGCAGCTTCATTATCTCTATTGATTTGTTCATTTTGGTATTTACACCCGTGCATTAACAAATAACGGTGCAAACAGTTTTGAGTGACCTACGAGGAGGTTAAATACTGAAAGCCAGATAATTTTTCACTGTTCGTAGTACCCGTGTTGGCAGTTAAACTGGTGTGTCAATAACAAATACATAATTGCTTATAGCAAACAGATACAGGGCCTGTTTATGTTATAGACTGAGTATGGATTTTGGTGCCCAGGGTTGGTACTGTCGATCGCGTGCAGTAGTTTCTGTTTTCTGTTATTAGGGCTTTCAGTGAAGAGTGGTACATCAGTGAGTACTTTGCTTTCAGGTGGATCTGTTTATAGAGATTTACTGGTTAAGTGTCTGGATTTCTAAAATTGGATTCACATTTATTTGTGTTTTATAAAGATACTTGGACCAATAAACCAACTCACAACCCTGCTTTAAGGTCAAACTCACATTGAACTGAATGTTGAGAAAGACCAGGTGACATAATGGAAACCGTATTTGCCATTTTCCATTTCCATCAACCACTAGAGAAACAAACAAAACTTTAAAAATAAGCATGTGGATTTTCTTATGTAAGGTATTTCCGTCTATCAATGGAAATATTTTTGGAAGGGACCACAAGGATTTGGAAACTAGATGAGATTAACTGAGCAGCTTTTGGTTGGCCCCAGGAAAGGGGGAGCAGTGGGATGCAAAAGTTGGGAGTTCTCCATGGAGCAGGTGGCTCATGTCTAAGGACAAGCAAAGGACATGGAAACCTATCTGTGGCTCCAAAGGTTCCTTCTGCAGAGAACAGAAGGGGAATTCTGACTGCTTGCTCTCAGTGAATGCTGAAAGCACTGATGCCAAGGGGAAAGATGGTTAGCAAAGACTCATGCTAAGCTGAACTGGAAAAAAAGCCCTTTCCCAATGCGTTTTAATTCACAGTCAGGCAATATATAGGTTTTCTGGCTTTACATCTGTGTCACAGCTTGGCCTCACATACTACACAGGACCCCCTTTTGACCTGTGCTCTCCCTCAGCTAATGGCTAATGTCGTAAAGCGTTCCTCTGATCATTAAAATAGGAGGCGTTATTCTTTCCCCCATAATAGTCTGACAATCTAATTTTAGTCACACTGAATGCAGTAATGACCCTATATTATCACAAGAAACTATTAAGTCGCCAACGCAAAGGTTGTTCCTATTGATTTTCTTCTCGGGGTTGTCATGATAGAGCACAACTAATGAATGGAAATCCCCAGTCCAAATCATTTCTAAATAAATTACTCTCATAGAGCTTTTACTCTAAATAGAAGAATTGATTTAATAGTTTAGTGGCTTCGCTTCTTTCTAAACTTGCAATTTACCCAACCTCAGACTACATTTACGAACCAAGGCTATTCTGTGTTAGCTGGTCCTTTCACGGAAGGCACACCAAGACTCAGAGAAAAGTTCTTTGCCAAGAGGAGGAAATTTTGGAGGGTTTGCATGGCTGAATTCAAAGATTTCTCTTTGTATGACTGGTGTGTTCAGAGGATCACCCGTAAGACTATGCTGGTTGCTGTACAAATACATGGTAAGAGACCATCTTTCCTAGTTTTTCAGAAAGGATTTCATTTTAATTTCACATTGCGGGTTATATTTGCATCGTGTGTTAAAATCTGTGGTACACACAGCCCAGTTGACTTTTTGAAGGTGACGTGGGACATCTGTTTCCAAGACCTGGTTCCATGGCCCATGTAAGTTTTTGGGCTGTGTTCAGTCAAACAAAAGAGTTGCTGTTTGTGTCAGCACTGGAAAAGAGCTTGTTACAGCTGAGGAGGAAATATTACGTGTAAATCATCTCTCTGTTATTTTCACAGCAGTCAAGAAGTCTCCGTGTAAGGGTCACTATGGGGCAGCCCGTGGGCTGTAGAAGAAGCTTCATACTGGCTAGGACTTACTGCTGTGGTGTTGGATTGTGTTCGCTAGATGTAATGAGGGTCTCTCCAAATCTTTCATCTGGGCCAGCTGAGCTCCTGCTAGATAATCCTTGCTCCGTCTTGACCGATTTTTAGAAGATGAACAAGGTGAGTGGGTGCCATCTCACCTCAGCCTTTGAAATCCCGTGTAGACAGTGCGCATCCATCCACATCCCTGATTCTGTTACTTGCACCTGGCTTCCCCCAGCGCCTTGCGCATGGTTTTGACAGCCTCTCTCAGCCTCTTGCACGTCCTCCCGTCACTAACTGAGATATTTGCTCACACGGCTCCGTGTTCAACCTGGAGCCTGAGCCCTCGGTCATTCTCTAATTGGTGACACCTCCTCCTGAGCATCCCTTGCCCTCCCAGGGAAATCCTGTGCCCATCCAGCTCAGCTGGCAGCCAGGACTTGCTCCATTGCTCTGTGGTTGCAGATCCCTCTCTGCCCATGAGCCTGTCAGGCGATTCCTCTCTTTTTGTGCTGTTAGGGCTGACACAAGAACATTTTCATCCCTTTGTCCTCTTTAGCTTCACTGCTAAACTTCCCTGCATCTTCAGGCAGCACCCATCGAATAACTCACCATGTCTCACAAGAAAGAACACTCAGGTGAACAGTCATTTTCTCCTTCCATAATCTGCTGATGCTTCTCGCTCTTCCTCATTTGAGGACCAGTCTTTTTAATTTGTGCTGGGTGGGAGATCTCCTATCGGTGCCGAGCTGCTCATGTCAATACGACTGCACAGAGTCTGAGCTCTCTCTTGATTTAGGTCTCAGGTCTGCAAGTGTCTGACTTTTAAGTATCCCTCCACACCACGAGTCATGTCCTGAGAAGTCCATAGGCTGCCCAAGGCAGACATTTGCCAGGAAAACTGGCTCTGGAGAGGGGATCTCTGCTGCATTCAGTGTGGGTATGGGTGTGCACATTAGGCAGCTGCCTCTCATTGCCTGATCCCAAATCATTTTGTCTGCAGACATTTACTTTGCTCTGCCACTTGAGCAGGAGAGCAGAGCTGGCTCATGACAGTGGTTCTGACTCCGTTGTATTGGGAACACAACAGAGGTTCGAAAATCTTGTTTTTAAAATGAAATAAAGGTGGACTCTTTTCCCAATGATTATTATAGAAAAATCCGAAACTGGGGTGGAATATGGTAGGTGTCCACATGAGACGCATTTTGTATGCTGAGGACAGTCTAACTACAGAGAGGAAACAGGGAGCCAGAAAAAAAGTAACAGAAATTGTACAGTAACATTGAGAGGTCACGGTCCAGCAGCAGTCATAGTAGCCAGACCCTCGATTTTTATCCAGTGTAAATTTTCTACTTAACTTCTATCTTTTAAACAAGAAGAGTTCAACTTTTCATGCTTTACTTTACAAACACAAGCCCTAGAAATGACCTGTCTATGTATGAAAGCTCAAATTTTGTGGTAATCAGAGGACCTGGGGCTTGAGGTGAACAACTGGCACTCTCTGAGATGAATATGCTATAATAGACCCATTCTTTGATTTAGCTCATATAAAAATAATATTTATATTTAAGAATCATTTAGTACACATTAAATTTGGTAATCCTTTCCTTCTCACACTTCTTCTTTCATTTCTTTTTAAAGAAACTCTAAAGCATAGAAATAATGGAGTAATTTAGTGATTTTTTTCCTTTCCTTGAAATAATTTAGCATTGGTTTTGAACCTGCTTGAGGGAATGAACACATTAAAACTTTAATTATATAGTTCTGCCAATTTGTTAATAATTTTAACCTATCAATTGGATATTAAGTCCAAGAGAGCTTAAGATAACATTTTACCAATACCAAATGACAAGAAATCTTTGAACATGTGGTTAGGAAGGGATTCTTACTGTCTCTGTACACCCTCGACAGTGCTTAATTCAATGCAAGAGGCCTCTGTCGCTCTGGAGAAGAGAAAGTACAAGGAAGACTGATGCAAGGTTCCGTCTCCCTGGACTTCAGTCTAGGACTTGAGGTCTTCTGTGCTGCTCCTTTTGCTTAGGAAGAAATTCCACTGAATTTTACTATGATCTAACAGCTGTCTCTTAAGTCTTTCATTCATGGCACTTACGTTTCATCTGTGAATGCAATTCCGAAGTACTCCTTTTCCTTCAGGTTGAAATGCGATGCCACCAGGTCGAGCAACTCCTTCGCCAAAAGCTTTGGCTGGAAAGCAAAGAAAGAAAGTGATCAAAATGAAGAACGTTGATATAACTGCAACATGTTTCTGGAAGGAACTCCTGCATTTGGAGGTACTCTATTGCCTTTTTTTTTGTTTTCCCTTGTGTTCAAGTGAAATTTTCAAGTAACATTAACCCTTTGAAATGAGCAGTAGTTTCCCTCCTAGGTAAATAATAAAAAGCAGGTGCCTCCAGCCTCTTTGGTACTTAATTTCTCTGTACAAAAATGACCTACCATCTGCCAGTGCTCAGATTTACCATGACTAGCTCACTCATGCTTCTCTGATAATCTAAGTTGTTAAAGCTTTTTATCAGGAACCTTTACAAACACATTTCAGACACCCACTCTCACACGCACAGTGCAGATATATACTCATAGCACTAATAAAAACATAGTGCCAAAAGATAAAATGTGACAGGACCAAATGAGAAGTAAATTGGAAAACAGAATAATTTCCCGTTCACTACTGTTTGTCATTTAAGGATGAGGAAGTGTCATAAAATGTATGTACTTTGAAGCAAAGAGAGGAAAGTAACACACACTTTCAAAATGCCCTTTGTAAGAACATGAAAACTGGGTTCAAAGAAGCTGTTCATCACACACACAGCACTGTGCCTTACTGCAGTGGGCCAGTTTTGCATTCTGTGCAAAACTTTTGTCCCTCTGTCTAATGCTACTTTTGCCCTTTGTATAGATCCATCAGCTCTGTCAAGCTTTGGTTTTTACTACTGTGCTGCTGAACTGTTAGCCATACTACATACTACTTCCATGAAGAAAAAATGTATTATTTCACTCCCAAACTGCTTCATAAGACTCAATCTCTCTAAGAATGTCTCTAATCTCAACACTGTCCTAGAACTTGACCCTGCTAAGACAAATGGCAGCCTGAAATCCTTCTCCAGCCTTCCTGTTTTACGCTGGCCTCCACCCCACTCCACCTCCCTGTTATGTTCTGGTGGAGAAGCACAGGTAGGAGCACGTACACACTGTTTCTTGTCTGTGCCCCCAGCGCAGCGGTGGTTTCTGGGTCATGCCAGCAAAGAAAGAGACAACACCAAGCTTACATGCAACACTAGCATAAAGCAGCCCCTGAGCAGGATGTAAGTTGCTGTGTAGGAAGAAGATTTGGCAGCAAACAAATTAGGTGGGACTTAACAAACCCCTTTTTAATTCCCCAGTCTGACTTCTCCGGCACTGTGAGGCTGTGGTGAGGTCTCTTTGACATGTCTACATTACGTGTTGCATTGCCTTTCAGAGGCTCCTCAAATAGCTCCTGAAGGGCAGTCAGAGCTGAGCAGACCAGGCCCAGGGCCGTGGCAATGCAGCACAGCAGCTACCCCAGCCTGTCTGGGGATTCCTTGGATGCTCCTGTCCTGGCATTACGGGAGTGTGATGGATGTTCCCAGCTTCTGTGTTTCCCGTTAAGATGAAACTTCCTTCCCTGGGACATTTTAAGGACAAGCTGTAGTCTTGCTTATAAGGTACTCGAATACTGTGACAAAAAGGATGTTAAGATGCCAGATGCAATGAGCTACAGTAGGCTTCGCACGAGTACTTATTGGGGGTGATAGATGAGTTTGCAGCTTAACAACAAACAAACAAAGACAAATTGTGAAGGAGAGAGAGGAAAGGGGGTTGTGCCTATGCCAGTGCACAGATTCAGAGCCTAAGCCTGTTTTGCTATAGAAGGTCTTGCTTTTCCCATAGCCTTGCCCATGTCTCTGTGCTGCCTTCTTTCCTGATCAGAGAACGGATCAGACTGAGCTCTCTGCTCCAGAAAGGGATTTCTTTCCAGTCTGTGCTAGCACAAGAGGAGGAGTGGGTTTGGGGACTGACTCCAAAGCAGCAATGCAGACTTTGACTAAGCGCCCACTTGCCCCAAATAACCCTGTTTTCAAATCCCAGTACTCCAAACCCCAGTCTGGACCCCCAGACCCCTTCAGGGCAGTGACGGGAGGCCAGGGTGGATTAAAGAGCTGCTATCCCTGTATCACTCTGCTGCACATGATGGAACTATAATTTCTTCCTCTACACCTTGGGTTTACTCAGAGCTTTATTACACTGGCCTCCAATGAGGAAGCATGTTCATAAATTAGAGGCACATGAACAGATCTAATTCAGCTCCTCCACTTGTACCCCTGCGGTCCCAGCACTCCTGCTCGCCAGTCAGGGACCAAAAGCCCAAGTCCTTTTCCACTGCTGTCTCAGCACACAGAGCCTTGCGTGGCACTGGCTGGGGCATTCAGATGAGCATCCCAGTGACAGAAAGAGGTGGGGAGGAGTAAGAGGAAAAAAAAAGGCTTTTCTGCTCTGACATGATTCTATAAACTGCAGGCACAATGACACTGGTGGAGGCAATTGGCAGGGCTGGATCTGGGCAGCCCCACAACAGCAAATATCTCAAGCACCGTGCTTTGTGGCTGGCACTGCCAGTCACCCACTGCTCTGGGGTGACTCAGACACTTGATAAATGAGCAGTTGTGCTGCTGAGCAGGGAAGCCAGAGAGCAGCCAGCCCCACCATGTGCCCCAGCTGAGAGGGCAAGGGTGGGGAAGAAACGTGTTTAAAACACAGCAGCATTTTCCCAGGCCTAGAAGCAGCACTTGGAGGGGACAAGCCAAGATTTCATATACCACGAGGGAGCAGGAAAGAGCAATAAACGGATGATGTGGAACAGGCTGCTCATGAACACGAGGAAGTGATGGGTTCATGAGCTCAGCCAGTCAACGGTGTCATGAGGGATGCTGGAAAAGGGGTAGAAGTCCCTTCTCCTGATGCCCAGCCATGCCACGGAGCAGTGACTGTGGGGCTGCACAGCCTCCCTCACCCCACACGCTGCTGCGCCTGCCCTGGGGTGTCAACTGAGGAGCAGGGCCTGCAAGCAGCAGCCTGCAGCCGCCCTCGCAGGCGGGACGGGTAAGCGAGGTGCCCTTCACGCACCTTTTTTAACTGCTCCTTAGCTCTCCTGAGCGAGAATGAAAAAGCCCCAAGGTCAGTGCGTGGCCTGGCAGCTTCCCTGCAGCTGCTCCTCTCCCAGCACAATCCCCCTCTCCGGGTCTTGGGAGGGGGGAGACAGGGGCGCAACCTCCCCAGCCCTTGCCCTGGGGCCTCATCCAAAGCCTGCTGCATCAGATAAGGGAGGATAACTCTTGCCTTGCAAGATAAGGGAAAAGAACAATAGATGCAGACCCAGCACTGGAGCGGCGCCAGCTTAGTTACTGGCCCAGTGTCCCTGAAGAGGCTTATGGCAGTGAACTTAAGCCCTGCTAGTCCCCTCCAAGATTACTTTCCACTCCCCTCTTAAGCTCTGCAAGGTTATTGTCCCTTTTCAGTGCTGTGGGATGTGTCCTGTTTCCCCTCTACACAGATGGGCAATCCAAGACTTTGGTGGGGGAAGGAGGAAAGCGCCTTCTGGAGGTAACAAAGGCTTCTCCAGACAAACGTGCGCAGCAGGGATAAGGGATGCAAAACCCTGGGAGGCACCAGGCGAGCTGCAGGCTGCCTCCTGTCTCAGGAGAGACCCACGAGCTGGAAGTTAGCGGTTAATCTGCTTGCAGTTCGGGATGGGAAGGGCTGAGCGATGACCTCCTTTCATGTGAGCCGCACAGACAAAGAGCTCATTAGCGATGCCTGTGGCAAGTTGTTTTAGTTCATTATTAATTTCTGGACTTCATTTTCCAGGGGGATATTCATTTTGCATTAATAAAACTACCATCACAGGCACACCGAAGAGGACAGGACTGGTCTCTGAGAGTATGGAAATACAGAGAGAGTGAGCCCAGGACCTTCTGCATCCCATATATATGAGCCCCACAGTGTAAATCAGGAGCAGTTCAGGCATTTGAAACACGAACTGAACCATGTGCCCAATGCTGCAGGACTGCAGAGCTGGACTTCAGTGACAGGGACCTGCTGACACCCCTCTGCATCTGCTGGTCTTTGCCTTCTTCCCACCAAGGCAACCCGTGCACTGCATTGCCTTCAGACAACCACTGATGGAGAAGCTCCATCAGGCACGAGGGGTTCCTGGCGCTGCATCCTCTCTGCATCCTCTCAGTCTGCTTCAGGAAAAGCATCTGGAGAAGCTGACCACAGCTCTAGCTGGCTGGCCTGGACCTGGGACAGGGCACGCGAGCAGAAATCGGGCAGCAGGCGCAGTGAGGGCTGAGCATCCTTTGCTACTGAGGGCTAGGTTAGCAGAGCAACTTAGTTCTGCCAAGGCTTCACTGTCTTCTGTCTCACACAAGGCCCTCCCTGCAAAAATACACCTGAAGAGCAAGGCACTATAACTAAACTGGTCTTTTCACTAGAGAAATCATCATGGCCCCAGCACAGAGGACAGCCTGTTCTGGCAAGAGCTCTCCACTGAGGGACCCATGCCCGACGTCGTGGTGCCTCTAGCAGGTTCTCTAGCCATTTCATAGTCCCAAGTCCTATCCCCAGGGCCTTTCTGCATGAGAATCAGCCATGGGCTTTTACAGATCTGGATTTCCACCTGCCTTCCCCAATTCCTGTTCCAGCCCTGAAGGCAGGGCAGAACTTTGCTCCCCAGCCTTGCAAATACAAGGGCAGCTTCCTCTCTGCAGAATCCAGGAAGCAAAAACTTGTACCTCAATTCTGTGGCAACGGTGGCATTAGCCATGGATCCACCTGATTGATAGGTATAACAGTATCATCCAGGGGAATCCCTGTCATCTACAGAGTGGATGTCACATGTCACTCCGAGTCCTCCAAGATTTCTCCCTTCCCCTTTGGAAAGGCAGGAGAGTAGAGTTGGATTCATTAAAGGCTGCCTCATCAGAAGAACAACCCGGACACCTTTCCCTGTGCTTTAGACAACAGAGGGGTTCATCTCAGCAGCTCTGTGACTTGCATCATGACCAAAAAAATAAAAAAAGCTCTGCTTTGAAAAGAAAAATACACCAAATACAGTGCAAGAAGGTTCATGTGGGATGTCAGCCTTGCTTACACAGACAGAGCTACCT